CTGTCGAAAGTGCCTACGTGAGTTGATCGTTTATCTCCACATTCGTTCATCAAAATTGTTGTGCGAGCAGTCATGTATGATACCCGGTTTTCGATTGTTTTATTTTGCTTCCGCTTCGGCCGTTGGACTGTATTTTTTTTTTCCAACATTAGTATCAGAGTCATCGTGGAACCGGGTTCCCGATTGTGCCTACATAATCGTTCCCACCTTACTTGTGAAGGCTTTGGCTATGGTTGGCCTATGATGTGCAAAGTACACATGATGGTTATATTAACACCATAGGCATGTGCATTATGTAACCTTATGTACTGACCACATAGTCGTGTTGACCTTATGCATGGGCTATGCAAGTTGAGGCATCCTAGACCATGAGAATCATGGCTAACTAATCTTAATAGGCCTCATATGCTAAGCCATGCATGGTGGGCCCTACTCATTTTTTGAGCATTTTAAGGCCGTATAAAAGGGCGTTGTTTTTGTGGGAGTGCATCTAGGAAAGTGCACCGCTTGCAAATTGTGAGGTATTTGAGATGCTAGATTCAAGAAAGAAACTTGGTATTGATTACAAGCAAGAGTTCAATGTGGCCATGCGAAATTTTCATATCAAGACTTTTAAGGGTCAAGTTTTTTTCAAGTAGCTTGACAATTAAGAAGTGTAAAAATGATAATTTAAGTGCAATCATGGATCAAACAAACCATGAAACATCCATATTAATTTGTGCAAATTTGTTGTTTCACTTAGAATGACTTCTAAAAATGTGATCGCAGATCTCACTTAAGGTGAAAAGTTGAGTGGGAGCAATTTTCCTATATGTAGGAAAATGCAATACCTTTTAAATGAGGAAAGTACACTTGAACACCTAACTACCATTAAGCAAAAATCTGAACAAGGTGCCGTTGAAGAACTTGTCCATGAGTATGAAGCATGAGACAATGCTAACAAATGCTCGGATTCCGAAGTGGCCAGACCCTTTTTCTGCATGACGTCCTCTATGCTCCCAGAATGAGAAAAAAATTTGCTGTCAGTTCTATGTCTAGTTAGAGACGGTTGCTTTATCAGTTTCATATTTAATTTTGCTACTTTTACATTTCCAGATGGTTTTCACCGTTATGGCTAGATTATGAATGATTTGTTTATTTTGGATAATGATCATGTTAATTTTTCACTTCCTTCTACCTATATGACATCGTCATCCTTTTCCACCTTTTCTATTACACATAACTCCATAATGTGGCATGTTAGGCTTGCCCATATAGGAAAAGATAAGATGATCCGATTAGCCAAAGAAGGATTGTTGCCTTTATCCAAAATAGACCTGCCTATCTGTGAACTATGTATAGCTGAAAAATCAACTAGAAAGCTATTTCCTAAAGCAAAGAGAGCAACCAGTCTTCTAGATATAATACATTTCGACATTATTCTCGCTACGGGTATGTATACCTAATCTGGCATAAATCGCAAGCGATAGATTGCTTTCGCCGTTTTATGCTAGGGGCTGAAAATCAGTTGGACAGAAGAATTAAGGTTCTTTGCACTGATTGAGAGCGAGAATACTTATCTGATCAATTTAAGACCTTAGTTCTATGGAGCAGAATAAGGTCTGGGAACTTGTGGATTTGTCTCCTAATAGAAGATCAATTGGAAACAAGTGGGTCTTGAAAATCAAGAGGAAGGCAGATATAACTATAGATAAGTATAAAGCCCGCTTAGTGGCGAAAGGGTTCACTCAAATTGAGGGAGTGGACTATGATGAGACATTCTCCCCGATTGTGAGAATGACCTCGATTCGCTTAATCCTAGCAATCGTCACATATATGGACCTGGAACTCTTCTAAATGGATGTGAAGATTGCTTTTCTGAATGGTGACTTGATGGAAGAGATCTACATGAAGCAACCTAAAGGTTTTGTAGCCTCTGGCCTTGAGCGCAAAGTGTGCAAGCTCAAGAAGTCCATATAGGGTCTCAAACAGTCATCAAGACAGTGGTATATCAAATTCCACAAGGCTATAATGACTTATGGTTTTGAAATGCTTCAAGAAGACCATTGTTTATACATTAAGAAGAATAAGAAAAGCATCCAAATACCGTCTTTGTATGTTGACGATATTTTATTAGCTGGGAATGAACTGGAGCAACATGTTGCCGCGAAGGAGTGGTGGTCCTCCAAATTTGAGATGAAGGACATGGGTGAGGCGAGTTACATATTCGGTGTTAAGATACAACGAAATCGCTTTCAAAGGTTTCTTACTATGTCACAAGAAACATCTATCCAAAGGATTCTTCAGCGATTCCGTATGCAAGACTTGAAACCCATAGATACTCCAATTGAGAAAGGGCATACTATAAGTCCAAGGCGACTCACTCGAGTCTAGCTCAAAGCCCTCAAATTCCCAAAAAAAGCAGGAACCCTTGAAACAAAAACTAGTAAAAATCCAAAAAAGTCATACAAAAAAAAAGGAGAGTATATAAAACATGAAATGTGGAAAATTTTGATGTTATTCGCTTGAAAAAGGTTAGAAAATCCAAAAATATGTGAAAGCAGAAATAATAGAGGAATACAAACCATAATAGGTTGCAAAAAAATTTAAAAGTATATCCAAAATCTAAAATATAAATTATATGAATTTGAATTAATGAATTGAAAAAAAAAAGAGTTATAGGTTTAGCCCTACCCAAACCTCTCCACCCCTTCTTAGGGGCAAAGAACTAAAATACCTTTTTCGTTGTCTCTATTTCTGCCCATGGGTAGGGTGGAAAAATTGCGCTGTATAGACTTGCCTTATCCAGCCCATAGTAGGGAGTCACTCATGCCCCGGAAGCTCGACCTTTTGCTCCAAGACACTGGATATCAATTCCAGGCATTTCCTTGATTTAGGGATCTTGATCTAGGAAATGGGGAAACTACATCCCCATTTATTGGGCTCCAGATGCCTACGCCCAAAAGTCATGGTTCCATGAGTAATTGAAACCGCGATTCACCAACTCGGAATCGAGTATCTTCTACTTTGGGAACGAGTTTTACCAGCACATTTTCAGGTTCATAAACAATGGTATGTGGATCTCCAATTTTTATGACCCACAAACTTTCAAAAAACCTGAGGTTGCTATATATTTTACAATTTACAACTTTGTACACCTTGGGAATTAAGACTTGTGACTAGTTTAAAAAAAAAACAATAAGAGAGGGCGGGGAGAGAGAAGGAAGAAGATGGTTAAGTGTCAACTGTCTATGAGTTCTATCTTTTTCATTGGTTCCTCTTTTGATTCTTGAAATTTTTGTAAAAGGGGATGCTCATGGTTTCAACTCCATCGTTGATCAATTATTAACTGGCCACCATTTGCATGATGCTTTTCTTCCATTTTCAAAGATGAGAGAAAAAATGATGGCCAAAAAAAGATGTCTGAAAAATTGCCTGAACTAATGGTGGAAGGATTTTAGCATCCTTAGTCTTATAAAAACACCAAAATTCCATGAATTTCTCGAATGTTGTGGATAGTTATCATGTTTGTTTAGATTTTGATACCAACTTCCTCAAGATCTGTTTGGGGGCCTTGGAAGCAGAAATAACTTGACCTGATGATCAATGAATAAGTGTACTCAGAATAGTTAATTGACATATTTGATATAACTTGGTTTTGTAGTTCCATATTGACTATAGATACCGCTAAAATACTTTCCTCTCTCATCTGTGTCAATAGTATCTCATTACATGTTAATCCGATTTTATTATATTTTCTTAGTTACCTCATATTCTAATCTTATTGTGAATTCGGAATTTCGATAGATTTTGTTTTAGTCTTTCTCCCTCTTGGATTGATTTTTTGGGAATGACAAAATCAGAAACCTGCCATTGTTTTTTTCCTCTCTTGATAAAGACATACAAGTGTAACATTTAGAAGAAAAAATAATTAAATGATGAAATCAAGGTTTGATGTGGCTTGCCTCATATCACCGTGCTATAATATTCCAGTGAACCATCCTGGTTCAATTTTGTCAATGGTTTCTGTCTTTATACATATTATATAATCATTCCATCCTTTTTTTTTTCGCTTTTCTGGTCATATATGGAAAGTGAAATGTGTTCTTGAACTTTTGAATTCCATCGGAATAATTTTGTAATCTTTCTTTTTCTACTTGCGCATTCTAATGACGAATTTTTCTTCGATGCATTGTTTGCTCAGATGGTTTCCCCCTTTTCTTTTTTGTGTTAATTCTGGCAAACTTTTATTGTACAGTTCTCTTTTAATGACTGGTGGGCTGGAATATTATTCTTTTTTTGCCATTTTATTTCTACAATAGTTACAAAACCTTTGCAAGTATCCTGACGCCTAGTCTTGCTGTTTTCTTTATATTGTATTTTGCATTTTGCTATTCTGCCAACTTGGGATAGATAAGCTTAGTGGATCCTATTTGTTGCGAAGTTCTGTCCGATTCTTTTTTTATCTTATGATATCTTCATTCAAATTTTTTTGCTTACCTCAGTCAGTGAGTGAACTGACCAATTATAAAGATTCTCCATTTCTGTTTGTAAACTAACTTTGTACCTATTACCTGCATTTTGCTGAAGTGGTTCATCATAGTTTAGGAAATAAGCTGGTGTGATTTGCAAAATTTGAAGCTTAACCACTTGTTTGGCTGCTGCATGCATCTGTTTAATTACCCTTTGGAGTTTCATCGCTGCTTTTGTGCTTTGGGGCAAAATTGGTATTTTCTAGTTCTTTCCATTCACAAATCGTAGGCCTCCACCCATGAAGATCTTCTCTATTGTGTTCCTCAGTGCAACTTGGTTTTTAGTTTTCTTGATGTAAGATTGTTTTCTTGCAAAGAAATAAATGAAATGCTTAACAGATATATCCATTTATTTCTTTGGTTCCTTTTCTTCTCTATGTTCATTGGACTTTAGCATGAATATTTACAGTTCAAATAAAGGCCAAACTCTTTTGCATTATGTGATATTACATTGTAACTTTTATCTAATACTTGCAATTCATGTGTTAGGTCCTGAAGTTGAGAGATTGGCAGGAATGGCTGGTAAATATAAAGTTTATCTTGTAGTGGGTGTGATTGAAAGGGAAGGATATACACTTTATTGCACTGCTCTTTTCTTTGATTCCCTAGGCCAATACATGGGAAAACATCGTAAGCTCATGCCTACAGCTCTAGAGCGTGTCATATGGGGCTTTGGAGATGGGTCGACGATTCCTGTTTTTGAGACTCCTATTGGAAAATTGGGCTCCCTCATTTGCTGGGAAAACAGAATGCCTCTCTTACGAACTGCAATGTATGGTAAAGGTAATTTCCCTCTTCTAATCTTTTGCTTAGGAATGGTGACTTCTTTGACATTGTTTTTCTCTAGATGGAGTCAAATCACTTTTGTTGAGATGTTCTATTCGCTTTTATCTTTATTTCTTGACTAATAAAAATATAAGTTGATTACCAAGCCTTAGCTCAGAGGCTAGTTGTCTTTCATGCTTTTTTTGTGCACAAGCAAGATAGCTGAAAAGCATTGTGGTACTCATTCTCAAAATAGTAAAATAATGATTTTATTTGCCTCTATAACTTTCACACACTTCAACTAGATTGACTTGATATATCAACACTTTTTTCTAAATTTGAGGGATGTATGTCATTCATTCTCGAATTTTTTATAATATGGGACCACGCTTTGCTTGTGTGTACCAAATGTGTTCGCTATAGGGATGCTCTCAAATGTTAAATTCATCTTGAGTGCTATCTCTACCTATCCATGTTTTTTTCATTTGACACATCATGTGAATAAGGTGCTAGAACAATTGAGGGATCCTACAAATTGGTTTGTTAAATTCTGTGTTTTTTTATCAAGATCAGGGATGAAAAGAAGATTGGCAAGCGACAAATACTGAAAATGTAGACATTGCGTATACCACCAACTTGGGAGATTGACCATTGGCAAGGCACATCTATATTTTTCAAAAATTGGCAAGTTCGTGGACATGGCCCTATCTAGGCTGCATCAAGAGTTTCATTGGGCCTTAGAGATTAAAACCCTGCTTTGGAGGATGTAGTTGAGTGGTATATCTGTTACGGGATCTTTCTTGACTATAAACTACTTAAAATTGGGTGAAAAGGAACTACGGCTTATATCTATGGTTTCCCAAACCCATTTCCCAGCTTTTCCTGTGTGAAATCATGACTTCCGAGTAAGTCAATATAATTATTCAAGCTGAAGGATTAATCATTTATTTTGCAGGTTTTAAACCAGGAAAAGGGCTTAAAAGACCTTGAGTCACTCATTTAAAATTTGAAAAGTTAACATGGGACTGCGCTGTTCTTTAAGTTATTATACAACCTCAGCTACCACCATGGAACTTTACTGAAAAATTATGGGCTTTGATCCTTTCATCAAATTTTATTGCAACGGACACCACAACACACTTGTTTTGCCTCCCAAGAGCTGGTCCCTAATTCATGACTGCTATTTTTTTTTCTCTGAAAATTTTATTTATTATTATCCCTATGGTAGCAAAACGTGGTTTTTTATGTTTTTTCAACTGAGAACTGATCCTGAAATAATGTGTGATATAAGTTCTACTTTGGAAATTTTATCCTTTGACTCCCCAAATTAATTTCTCTATCATTCTCTCCCTCTCTCATGATGTATTATTTTATTCAGGAGTTGAAATATATTGCGCACCTACGGCAGATGCAAGGGAAACATGGCAGTCATCCATGACCCACATTGCACTTGAAGGGGGATGCTTTGTTCTTTCTGCAAATCAATTCTGCCGAAGAAACGATTACCCCCCTCCACCTGATTATGTTTTCGGGAACAGGGAAGAGGAGCTCCCACCAGACTCTGTTGTTTGTTCAGGAGGCAGTGTGATTATTTCTCCATCTGGTGCTGTGTTGGCTGGACCCAATTATGAAGCAGAGGCTCTGATCTCTGCTGATTTAGGTATGACAACCTTGATACACTTACGAGGAAGTATACTGACAATGGAGAACCATAGTTCATTGGGACCATCCCCGTCCAGTGTCAGTATGGATGGTGTTGGAGAGAGAAATTGGACCCTACAGAGGAAGATGAGATCCTAATGGTGGTCCTATCCTCTCTCTCACCATCCATTATATAGTGGATGGTGATGGTCCCAATAAAATATGATTATTCATAGTCCATTTATATTTTCAATACGATGGTGGAGGAATGCTCAAAATATTGCGAACTTATTATATTCACAAAATTTAAGTAGCCTTGATTTTCATAAATGAAAAATCTGCTTCATCCTGTTTCACTGGCAAAACTGCCATGGCCTCTTTTTGGATGACATATGTGAAGTCTTTCCTTCCCCTCATGTTTTAAGAGTGATTTCTTTTGTAAAACTGCATTATTCTAAAAAGCCACAAGACAATCATAATTTGTTCATTTCTAGATTTGGAGGCACGGTTATTTCTTTTCTTTTATTCACCAGTAAAACTAGGTTGCTTACTAATATTGGGGAACCAGAGAAAACTAAGATCTATCTGGACTGGAAAAACAGCAAATCACATAGAAACTATGGTTTACATGGTAAGTAACCTTATTATTTGAAAATAACTTTACATTTATCAACCTTATGCAGTTAAGTTCACATGAATCTCCTATGAGAATTTGTCTTTTAGTATAATGCAAGGTTTAAAAAAACGAATCGGTGATTCGAATCGGTCACACCCATACCTGTGTCGAATCAGAGAATCGGTGGATCGGATCGGAGAATCGGCGGAATCGACAATTTTTGTCCCAAAGTTTTTCAAAAAATCACTATAAATCTCTAAAAATAGTGTTCGTTTAGTTTCTCAAATAAATTAGGAGTGGTTCATTATGCACTTTCATTACTTTGTAAAAATAGGTGAATAATGAGATGATGTTTTCATGTCTGGATGTTTGTATAATTATTAATTATAATATAGTATTATAATATTATATCAAAATAATTTAAAATATTAAAAAACACATCCACATTATAAGATTAAAAAAATAATTTCCAATATAATGTGAAATTAGTGTCACATCAAAGTATCAAACATTTATTAATTCGCTTTATTCATCCAAAATTATCACTACCTAACTAACTATAATATTATATACTAAAATTGAAAGTGTTGGTTTATATTTTATTATTATTTTACATACAAATAAGAACAAATCTAAAATGTCTTATAATATCATCTAATTTAAAAAAGGATACGGTTTTTATGCGGCCAGTCCGCATATTGTAGAAATGCAGGCTTGGTAATAAATATATTTTTTAAATACAATTTGATCCTAATTTTTAGAGAATATATAATCTTTAACATGGAGATGATGAATATGACAAAAATTAAAATTGAAAATTAGAAATAATAATTATATTACGAAAACATTTGGACCATTACTTACACTTGTTTTTAAATGGACCACCTATTTGCATCCATCTTTAAGATAGATGCTTTATACCTCTGGACCTCATATTGTAGAAATGCGGTCCAGCTCGCATGAAACAATTTTCCTTTAAAAAATATTGTTTACTTACAAGGGAAAAAATACATTACATAATTTATATTGCAAATAAATTAATAAATATAATCCCAGATTTGGGTGTATAATTATTATTTATAATAAACATGATTCAAGAATTTCTATATAACAACTTAATACATTTCAAAATTATATCAAATTTTTATTGCTATATAAAATAAGTTATTATAATAATAACAAATTAACAATAAATTATTCGTTTATATTTGTAAAAGTTAAAATATATTATTTATAAATGCAATCTAGACTAAATATGAAATCTACCATTGAGTTTATTTCTAGAAATGAAAGCATCCAAAGGCCGGCCATCTACCATTAGTCCTAGTATCTAATGGCAAAGAAGAGCAACTCCTCTGCAATGGCATTTCAAAAGTAAACAAATGGAGACTTTCACTGTCAATTGATGAGATTAGCCAGTTTATGTTAGCATAAAATGGACAAAATAACATAGGGGTAGCGACGGGAGAAAGAGAGAGAGAATATGGGACTATTTGAAATGGGAGGAATGGGACAATTGTCCTACATCAAAGAGTAAGGAGAAGCTTAACATTTATAAAAGCGCTAACAACTGCCGCATTTGTGCACATGTGGTTTTTAGGCAATGTTCGCAAAATCGAACCAAAATAGTTAACCGGGCATGCGCTTGGAAGCGGTTTAACCGGCCTAACTGGTAAACCGGTCGATTCGACTGCTCTAACCGGGCAAGTCCAGGGCGGTCAAAAAAGTGTTGGAAAAAAAAAAAAATGCAAAAAAAAAATCTACTAAAATATGAAAACCATATAAAGAATGATTAAAACAAAACACATTCAAATGAATTTTTATCTTTTTTATGAATTTTTTTTTTTTAAATACCGGTTGATCACCCTAACCGCTCAAAACCAGAACCGGCCAGTGGCCGGTTCTGATCTTACGGGGCCATTAGATCGGGCGATTTTGCGAACAATGTTTGTAGGTGAGCAATTGGTGGTTTGCTTTAGTGGTGTAGACGTGTTTGGTGGGGGCACAATTATACCCTTTGTTTTATAAAAAATTCCCGAAGTCTTCGAATCATGATGCCATCAATTTGAATCGTGATGTCATCAATTGGATTTCTTGTAGCTAATCGTACAGATCCCATTTCATGGCCGGATCTGGAACGGTCCAAGCCGCTGCTCTGGATCGCCAGATTTCGGATCGGGTCACCGATTTTTTAAACACTGGTATAATGGGAAGCGATTGTGATATCAAAGCTTTTTTTTTGGTGTCTGTTCTGTTAGAGATTTACTCATCTCATCAGTAATGTTTTCAACACTTTATGGAGACTTGGATTTTAAATTTTAAATTATATGAGGACGCCAGTCCAGTGGACTATGGAAAAAACCATCCATTGGATTCACGGAATGGATGGTGTTGTGGAGAGTGGTGGAACCCCGCATTGGGGACCTTCTCTTTTCTGGTGATCCTCTCTTCTTCAGTCCCATTCCATCATTTCATCGCAATGGGCAGTGTCATCACATATTAACTGGACATTTTAGTATCTTCCATTTTATTTGTCTCTAGTTAAGGAAATTTCTTGGGACTTTATCATAATGAAAACCATTTTTGGATTCTAATGGTGTAGATTTTGGAGAAATTGTGCGAGCCAAGTTTGATTTTGATGTGGTTGGACATTATGCGAGGCCTGATGTTTTGAGCCTGACTGTGAAGGACCACCCATTGGTGCCCGTCTCATTCGCTTCCAATATCAAAGCTGAAGGGCCAAAAAAGCTGTTATAGTGGCATTTGGTTTTCTAGAATGCCCCTTTTTAGTATATTTTGGCATCCTTAATGTACAATGATGATGCACGTATAAAGCTTCTCTGTTTTTCTTTACTTCTTTTAGTACATTTTATCAACTTTAATGCATGACGATGCATTGCATCTTATGGTTAATGAGCTTTCATTCACTTCACAATGGCATCATGGTCTTGGGGGCTTCTTTGTTGTAACTTTTCTATCTAGCCCAAAGTTTGTTATATGTAAATTTTATGCTCAACATTTACAGTTAAAGATGAGGTAGTCCTATTACCGGGAAAGACTTGATGTAAATTACATACCCAACATTTGCAATTGAATCTGAGGTGGTTCTATTACAGGGAAGGCTTAAATTATTGATGAATTTTTGTGTCATTGGAATTTATGTTACTATTAACTTTTTCTTGTTTAGGGCCTTGCGCAATTGGCTGCTCCATTTTTATGCGTTCATATTATTGTTTATGTGTTCATATAAACGTATAGTTCAGTTGAATGACTCTCCCCTTCTTTTTCTCTCTCTCACACACACAGGCATACGTGTGTGCATTATATCATGAGAGTTTGAATGTCGATAAGTAGATTCTGTGGTCCTTATCTTCAAATGTGCTCACAGTTTATTGGAGGGACAGTCCCATTGGAAAGCAGAAAGGGATCTGTCAAAAGTATAGAAAAGGAAATGTACAAGCGTGGAGAGAGAAAAAAGTCATGTCTGTACAAAACAGAAATCCCAATTGAATGCGTCAAACCTCATGAACTGGTACCCCTTGGATCACTCAATATAGTAATTTCCAAGGTCCCAATCGACCACCATTTCCTTCTCTATCTACTCACATTGAAATTCTCGTTGTAGGATTTGTCCTGTTATCCACGTCTCTTTCTTTCTCTCTTTGCTTCTTTCCGCAGGTCCTGAAAAGATCCAATTCTGGGTTCTGCATTCGACTAAATGGCTTCCTCTGCAACTTCTTTCTTTAAGTCCTGAAAAACCAAATTATGGGGCTGAAATGGCTTCCTCAGTGATGACAGTAGCAGCACTAATTTTCTCTCTCTTTTCTTTGTCCAACTCAACCATCACTTTCTCTCTCTCCTCCCATTATAGCTCAATTGGAAGACCATCCCCTCCCTTCTCTTCTTCTCTTATTAAACCTGAACTTTCGAAGCCAACTATTACCTATTCAAGTGAGAGGGTCTATTACGAGATTAAATATTTTACACAGACATTAGATCATTTCAACTATGTTCCATAGGGCTATGAAACTTTTCAGCAGACGTATCTCATTAATTCTAATTACGGGGGTGGCCCCATGGACAAGGTTCCAATCTCTGTGTACAAAGGAAATGAAGGGGACGTCGAATGGTTTGCACAGAATACAGGCTTCATGTTTCAGAATGCCCCTTATTTCAAAGCCCTCTTAGTTTTCGTTGAGGTAACAAAATCCCTCTCTCTCTCTCTCTCTCGTATTGATCTCTATCTATCTATCTATATTGTTTTTAGAATTGG